ACATGCTGGGTAAATGTCAGCTGTGAGTACGCTGACAAATTACTTTCTGCTCATTAAATGTCATCTGGTCTACATCGTAATAATCAAACCCGGGAGCGTCTTCGCCACCCCTCCTCCCCTCTTTAAATAGAACATTTTTTTTTTTTTTTTTTAGAGGCAGGGTCTCTCTCTGTCACCCAGGCTGGAAGGCAGTGGCACAGTCACAGCTCACGGCGGCCTTGAACTCCTGGGCTCAAGTGATCCTCCTGCCTCAGCCTCTTGAGTAGCTGGGACTACAGGTGTACACCATGGAGCCCAGCTAATTTTTAAATTTTTTATACAGACAGGGTCTCACTATGTTGCTGGTCTAGAACTCCTGGCCTCACCTAGTCCTCCCTACTCAGCCTCCCAAGGTTCTAGGATTAGAGGCGTGAATCTCCAAGCCCAGCCCGATATGGAACAATAATTTAAATCATTGCACATCAGGAGTGCAATGATGTGAGACACGGTCAATGTAGAGAATAATAGACTATTCTGGAAAAGTTGAATTAAAGTTATGAGGCTAAGTAATGATAGGGGTAACTGATCATTTTTAATATGTTTCAACTTGCTGGGCTTCCCTTTCCTTCCCATCCTCCTCACTGCTTTTACCATCTGCTCACTTACTACCACATTTCAAGCCCCTGAAATTGGATGGAGGGGAAAAGGAATGTGGTGATGGGAGGAGGTGACCCACCAAAGCTGAGATGTCCCAGATTTAGACCTGCCCCTAGCTTGAGCGCAACATAAGCAGAACCCAGCAGCTCTCTGAGCTTCAGTTCTGGTGATTAGCATCAACCCTGCATTCCTGACAATCTCGGTGGAAAGAAGAAAAGAAGAAATGGACGTGAGAGTTTGGACGTGAGAGTTTGCATATCCCCAAACTCCCGAGTTCTTAGGATGATCGGGAGGGCTTATGTAGCCTTCGCGTTATCTGGGGCCTTCCTTTCCTTTTCATCTCCCTTCTTTTCTTCCAGGGTAGGCAACACTGTATGCTAGAAGGGAGACTAGAATAGGATGGCGAGGTGATGTTGAAACACGCCATCTTTGATTATGCAGATTTTTATTACAGAATGTTGGGGGTGATCATTTCATTTATTCATCTGTGTTTCATTTCACCTAGTGGTCTGTGTCTCTCATGACCCAGGGGATGAGTAAGAGCTAATGTAGCACCTGCTTCACGCTGGAGATTTGGACTCTGGTTAAGAACAAGGTCTCCATGCAGACATTTAAACACAGTTTACTTGGGGCCAGGTATATTATTGAGGTCTCTCCATAAACAGCAAGATCTGAATCTTGGTAACCCATGGCAAGATTCCTAGACTCCGTGTCAGGCTGGATGACTTCCAGAATCAAGAAAGAGAAGGCCTCCTTTCGAGGCAAGAAAACAGCTGGGCTCTTATTGCTAAATCCAACAATTGCTCATTAGTAGCCTGACAGGACAGAGTTGCTTTGGGCTGCGGGGCCTCTTTTTGCTTTAATCACTGGGTTGAGGATTAAGTCAGTAATGCTTAAACTGTAAAAAAGTTAGTGCCATGAAAAAGAAAGCCAGACTTACATGTAATACCCCATAGCGCACGATGTACAGGTTCCCGGATCATCTAGAAAAAAAATTGTAATAATGAAGAATGATAATCACCAAGAGTTTGTCATTTGGAAAAATAGATTTTGGAAAAGCTGTGGCTTGAGACAAAAAATATTCTGGCATAGCTTCATGAGAGGTACTGTCCAGAAATGATATTTGATCAGATTGCACCCTTTTTAATTAGTAACAAGATGTGCACTAGGATTTATCTTTATTGAAGGTAATAAAATAAGAGTTCTCATAAATCCTTGGCCCTCACTTTCAGGAAGGAATAGGCCCAAGCTACTGGGTTTTCAAATTACACATCAACAATCTACATTAGGAACCTCCTGACCTCTACTGAGATAACCGCATCGGCATGCCCACACACAAACATCTGGAAGGGACTGTGAGCTTCTGACGTGGAATTTCTGTGAGTTGCTGATGAAAGTATCATTTGGGAGGCGCCTTTGAAATCTGTACTATTATTTTTCCCAAGTATCCACTTCATGTTCTGCACTTCACAATCCTCTTGAAGAAACTGTCCTGTTCTCTCTTTTTTTTGAGACAAAGTCTCGCTCTGCTGCCTGGGCTAGAGTGCCCTGGCATCAGCTTAGCTCACGGCAACCTCGAACTCATGGGCTCAAGAGATCCTTCTGCCTCAGCCTCCTGAGTAGCTGGGACTACAGGTGTGTACCACCACACCCGGCTAATTTTGTTTTTTTCCTATTTTTAGTTGCACAGCTAATTTCTTTCTATTTTTAGTAGACATGGGGTCTTGCTCTTGCTGAGGCTGGTCTTGAACTCCTGACCTCAAGTGATCCTCCTGCCTCAGCCTCCCAGAGTGCTAGGATTATAGGCGTGAGCCACTGTGCTCGGCCAGAAACTGTTCTGTTCTCATCAAGAGTAATGATTCAATGTGTCTCTGTTGGCTCACAGAAGGGTCTTTTCCTGCAGCTTTCAGGGGACTTAGAAAGGATTTTGAGAGTCACTATCGCAGTCTGTTTCCCTCCCTCCTAACACTCCCCAGAAGAAGCAACCTTCAGATCTAATGATTAAGAGAATTCCATGACTTCCTCTGGCCTGCAGTTCTTGCAAGAAACAGTCACCTCTGGCAGGTTCTTCCCATGATCTAACCTACATACACCCTAGTCTTGCTCTTTTTATTTTAATAAGAGGTAGAAAACAACTGCTCCTCCTTAAAGCAGTCCTCTTGGTACATGAAGATCTTATTTCACTTTTAACTTTATCTAAACAAAACTATGTTCCCTAAACTTTATTCATAACTTTCCTTTCTAATCTAGTCTGGGCTGTATTCTGGTTTTCTCAAAGACTACCTCTTGGAGGTAGAGACAGCCCCACTCAAATCTTTAGTCACACATTCATCTTGGGTCCTCCTAGGGATTTTGGAAAACGACACTATACTACACGTAGTATGATTAATGCATTGAACCCAAACTTGCAGTGGGTAAATTTCTAGAAGAGTCTCTGCCAATTAAGCAGAGATCCTCAGAACCTTCTTCTGGAAATAGCCTGGTGACTATGCCATGGAAGGTGAACTGGCCTTGGAACTGGGCTACCTGTCCCTAGTTTGAGGTTTAAACTCAGGCTTAAGTGTCTTGTGAACTTGCACAAATGTCACTCTACTTTCTGTGTCCTGTTCTCTGTAGGGGTAAGATGAGCTGGTTGAACAAGATAGCTGTTAAGACTCCCAGAAGCCAAAGATTCTGAAGTTGAGTCTAGCAGGAGTTGGCAAACTATGGCCAACCCCAGGGCCAACTCCAGCCTTGCCCATCCCTGTACATGCATTGGCATGGATGCCTTCATCCTACAGCACCAGAGTTGAGTAATTGCAACAGAAACTGAAAGTACTTACTATCTGCCACTGCACAGAAAAAGTTTGCCCACCCCTGGCTGTAGCACCATCAGCCCATGACTTGGTCATGCTTGCCTTTGTTAGGTCACACAGGTGTAAATATAATTGTCTTCACAGCTGCTTCCAGAGTTCCTCTTAGGGTGAGAACCATCTATATTTAGGAAAATACCTTGTTAAGCTGCTTGAGGTAGAAGTTTAATTGGAAGAGTTGAAAGAGAGCCAAGACAACCAAAGAGATAGAAAGGCCTTTTTACAGGAGGCTGTGATTTGCTCATGGGAAGGAAATGGTTTTTCATGTCTGGATCAACATGGTTTATAATAAGGTGACTAAAACAGGACAGCAAAATGAACCAAAAGCCGGGCTAATTAAATGGAACTAGGAATCTGAAGCCAGAGGTGCCCATGAGAAAGAAAAGGTCCCTGGAATTCTTAGAAATCTTGGGGAGGGCTTTATGCTTCCACAACCCATGGATTGAGGATCCAAATCCATTTCAAGGGGTTGCAGGGACCCCAATGAACACCAGTGGTTTCACCAGGCTAGTTGGTTTCCCACTATGAGTCTATTTTTGCATCTATATTCTTTTCAGTTCTTCTGCTAAAAAACTTCCTACCACTCAGCTTGAATTTGGACAGCTTACTTTTCTCTGCCTGTCCTTGATGAACATATTTGATGCTAACAGTTTTGCTAATTGGGCAAAGGCTGGGGAAATTCTAATCCTGTTCTCTAATGTTCTGGTCATCCCTCCCATCTAGGAACTTAATGAGCTTGCTCTCTGCTCCTTTAAGCAGGTCACTGATGAAAACGTTAAGTAGAAACGTGCATACCAATGTCATCTTGAGGTCAGGGGCTTTTCCAGCCCAGTTGCACAGTAAATCTGGTACCTTCACAACAGTTTGCATAAATGAATAATGCATAGAATAGGAACTGTGTCTTAAAACAGCTTATGAATGCCTATTAGTTGTTCTCATTATTACCAGTTCGAAAGAATGAGAATTATTTAAAAAAATGTTTCCACCCCAGAAGATCCACAAGTCAGACATAAGCTAAATGGATTTAGCTTGACCTCTGAGAGGCTGCAGTTATGGGATTAAGGAAGAAGGTAAGAATCCCAAACCTAGAAGTTGACTCTAAGTCAGCGTGGCATGTAGATGGTAAGAAGGGGTGGTGTAAGGAGACAGATGAAATCTCCTGGCTTCTGGTGTGTGTGCGGTGGGAGGTGGTAGGGCGGGGAGTCTAAACAAGCCACAGTTGTTAACTGTCTTGGAAGGTGTCATCCAAAGTAGGATGTTTAAATAGCTTTGGTTATTTGATCTTGTCAAACTTTTGAGCCGAGAGAGCATATTTTGAGGGGAGATGGGGCAAGTTCAGTCGGAATTCAGAGAGAGCCTCACATTTGGAAAAAAGCCTTCAGAAACAGTTGTTGGCTTCCAGTTGCTCACGTCCCTGCTAAGGAGAACGTGCAAGCAGATGCCTTGTCAAGACGGGGATACAGCCTTCCTTTACTGGGAAAACTCATTTTCAGTGTCTCATTTTTATGGAGTGGGGTGGGCAGGACTACAATGTCCACTGCGTCTCGGGGGCTCTTCATCATCCTGTGTCATCTTCTCACTGTGTCCTCAGGATCATCCACATTGGAACTGGTCACCAACTCACTGTCCCGTGGGGACAGACTCCTGCTGTCATTCCCGTCTTCAGTGGTCAGCTTACATTCTGCCCCATTTCGCTTTGTTCTCACTCATACCTACAGCCTTCACCACTGAATGTGGGTGGATGAGGGCCACAGGAGGAGCTACACACATCTTACCTATAAAATGTATTGGAAAGGGGATAATTTAAACTTCAAACGGAACAGAACATTTTTAAATGTCCAGAGAAGAATTTATTTTTATGGTTTACATAAACTTTGTGTCTCATAATTAAGGGCACATACAAGCTAAAATGCCTCTAATTTGCTTTTCCTAATTGTATTGTTCATCTTGCATGTTAATTTTCATTTGAGGGAGACAGAAGAAACTCTATGCCTTAAGGATAGCCTTTTACCACAGAATATTTAAATATGCCAGAATTAGCCATGGATTAGATATTCATAGACTTACAGTCCTAACCACTCTCCAAGCTTCATCAACAACAGAAACCTAAAGCAGTAAGCTCCACACTCTTTTGATTGAGCACCCCATTGGCTTAAAAAATTAGCATGTACCCACAATGCATGTGTGTGTATAAATTATTTATTAGTTATTGCTATTTGTTATATACTAGTACATGAATATTTTACATATATTAAAAAGATGTGCTAAACTAGAAAATTTAAGAGAATAACTTAAAATAAATGTGACCACAAGTCCTATTTTTTTTTCTTTTTTGCAACCCAAAGGATGGTTTTCGTATCTCTCTTTGGAGACCAGTGACCCAGGCCACACCTGACCAAATGCCACATCTGAGCTAATAATTCATACTTAACCTTGCAAAAACATGTTTTACACTTGGTTACCTAGATTATAATGGAAAAGAATGGCTCTCTGATGGGGTCACTCATCTGTATGTATGTGAAGACGTCGTGTACGCACGCATAGAATGAGTTATCAAGTCAGGGTGTTTGGGGTATCCATCACCTTGAGTATTTACCATTTTTATGTCTTGGTAACTATCTTTTAGCTGTTATATTTTGAAATATACAATATATTGTACTAACTATACTTGCCATAGTCTGCTATCAAACATTAGAACTTTTTTCTTCCATATATGATTCTAATTAACTTGTTCACCTAGTATTTTCATGTTAGGAGATAAGCAGAAATAAAGACATGGCTGGGTGTGGTGGTTCACATCTGTAATCCTTTGGGAGGCCAAGGCATAGTGAGACCCCATTTCTACAAAAATTAAAAAAAAAAATTAGCCAGGTGTGGTTGTGCACACCTGTAGTCAGTCCCAGCTCTCTAGAGGCTGAGGCAGGATGTTCACTTAAGCCCAGGAGTTTGAGGTTGCAATGAGCTATGACGACACCACCGTACTCTAGCGACAGAATGAGAGACACTGTCTCTCTTTTTTTTCTGAGACAGAGACTCATTCTGTCGCCCAGGCGAGTGTCGTGGCATCAGCCTAGCTCACAGCAACCTCAAACTCTGGGCTCAAGTGATCCTCCTGTCTCAGCCGCCCAAGT